CAACCAGTGAGTGTATTAGGCAGTGAGTGAACATGTGGTCCCTGAAGTTGAGGTGTTGAAAGCAGGACAAAAGGGCAAGCGTAAGAATTTGAGCAACTTGTAATGGCTACCAGAGTGGGTCAGAGAACCTCCAAAACTGCAGCTCTTGTGGGATGTTCCCGGTCTGCAGTGCCAAAGGTGGTCCAAGGAGGGAAAAAGGGAGAACCAGAGACAAGCCCAGGCTCATTACTGGACATGGGGAAGGAAGGCGGGCCTGAGTAGTCCAACCCAACAGAAGAGCTACTGGAGTTCAAGTTGCTGCTGGTTCTGATAGAAAGGGGAGATGTCCAGCAGCTCACAGGAGGATCTCAGAAAGATTGAGGTGCTATGGGCAGCACAGTGGCTTAATGGTTATCACTTCCACTTAGCAGTACTCGGGTTGCCGATTTGAATTACAGCCACGGCACCACCTGACTGGAGTTTGCATGTTCTCCCTGTGCCTGCGTGGGTTTCCTCCCACACTCCAAAGACATGCTGGTGGGTGAATTGGCTCCTGTGTAAATTGGCCCTAGTATGTGTATGTATGAATGTGAGTTAGGGACCTTAGATTGTACGCTCCTTGAGGGTTAGGGACCTTAGATTGTACGCCCCTTGAGGGTTAGGGACCTTAGATTGTACGCCCCTTGAGGGTTACGGCCCTTAGATTGTACGCCCCTTGAGGGTTAGGGACCTTAGATTGTACGCCCCTTGAGGGTTAGGGACCTTAGATTGTACGCCTCTTGAGGGTTAGGACCTTAGATTGTACGCCCCTTGAGGGTTAAGGACCTTAGATTGTACACCCCTTGAAGGTTAAGGACCTTAGATTGTATGCCCCTTGAGGAATAGGGACCTTAGATTGTACGCCCCTTGAGGGTTAAGGACCTTAGATTGTACGACCCTTGAGGGTTATGGACCTTAGATTGTACGCCCCTTGAGGGTTATGGACCTTAGACTGTACCCCCTTGAGGGTTAGGGACCTTAGATTGTACGACCCTTGAGGGTTAGGGACCTTAGATTGTACGCCCCTTGAGGGTTAGGGACCTTAGATTGTACGCCCCTTGAGAGTTAGGGACCTTAGATTGTACGCCCCTTGAGGGTTAAGGACCTTAGATTGTACACCCCTTGAAGGTTAAGGACCTTAGATTGTATGCCCCTTGAGGAATAGGGACCTTAGATTGTACGCCCCTTGAGGGTTAAGGACCTTAGATTGTACGACCCTTGAGGGTTATGGACCTTAGATTGTACGCCCCTTGAGGGTTATGGACCTTAGACTGTACCCCCCTTGAGGGTTAGGGACCTTAGATTGTACACCCCTTGAGGGTTAGGGACCTTAGATTGTACGCCCCTTGAGAGTTAGGGACCTTAGATTGTACGCCCCTTGAGGGTTAGGGACCTTAGATTGTACGCCCCTTGAGGGTTAGGGACCTTAGATTGTACGCCCCTTGAGGGTTAGGGACCTTAGATTGTACGCCCCTTGAGGGTTATGGACCTTAGACTGTACCCCCCTTGAGGGTTAGGGACCTTAGATTGTACACCCCTTGAGGGTTAGGGACCTTAGATTGTACGCCCCTTGAGGGTTAGGGACCTTAGATTGTACGCCCCTTGAGGGTTATGGACCTTAGATTGTACGCCCCTTGAGGGTTATGGACCTTAGACTGTACCCCCCTTGAGGGTTAGGGACCTTAGATTGTACACCCCTTGAGGGTTAGGGACCTTAGATTGTACGCCCCTTGAGAGTTAGGGACCTTAGATTGTACGCCCCTTGAGGGTTAGGGACCTTAGATTGTACGCCCCTTGAGGGTTAGGGACCTTAGATTGTACGCCCCTTGAGGGTTAGGGACCTTAGATTGTACGCCCCTTGAGGGTTAGGGACTGATGTGAATGTACAATATATATGTAAAGTGCTGCGTACAATGACGACGCTATATAAGTACCTGAAATAAATAAAGGTGTCAGAAGCACAGCATCAGTTTGTTGTGTAACTGCAGGGTGCCCATGCTGAAGCCCCAGTCTTTTGAGATGGAGGACACTGGCTGCATCTGCGTGGCTGCAGACACTGTCCGACTGAGAACTTCCAGACAGTTCCTCATTTTCAGATGGAAGCTTGCCCAGCTGGATGGCATTGACAGGGCCATGCAAGGTAAGAATTTGGCAGATTCAGCAGGAATCGGCTGACATTTGAGCTGCATATATCTCTGGTACAAGGCCACCCTGCTGCTATGTCTTCAGATTAGATAACATCTGAGACTCTGAGGAAACAAAAGAACACAAAACAAAAAGGTGCGCAAATGACCACTTCCCTCTACACAGCTCATGCAGCCATTGTGGTCATGGCAGAGAGCTTCATACACTTCCATAACTCGTAATAAGCCATCACTGGATGGGACCTGGCATTGGATTATCAAAATATTTATCATTTGTATGACTATCACAATGCTGATGGTATAAAATGAAAGTGTATGCTGGGCCTATAGGCGTCCTTTAATTAGGTGCGGAATTCAGAACAAAATAGAAAGTAGTGCAGGTGCTGCAGACAGACCTGAAACAGGCCTTGTAGGCATGGGGCACGCCACTCGCTCCAGTTTTCTGCACCATTATAATAGTGCAGAGAGGTTTGTCAGAGCACATGGGTGCATGAGGACAGACAATGTACATCGCAGGCGTATTTCCATGCCCAGAAGACAAAGCTGCAGCATGCAACCGTCCGTAGCAACGATAAGGCTGCATGCAGGTATTCGCTGGACTGCGCTTGCAGATGTAGATCTAGGGTTGCCACCTCATCCCTTTAAGGCTAGGATCAAACCTATGCAGTTTGCTTTTGATCCACTTCTACAGTGTGTTTTTTGGTGCGTTTTGCTTTTTTGATGCTAGGCAGATTTAACCACTTCCAGTCCGGACACTTTCCCCCCCCCCCCCCTCCAGTCCGGACACTTTTACCCCCTTCCTGTCCAGGCCAATTTTCAGCTTTCAGCGCTATCACACTTTGAATGACAATTGCGCGGTCATGCAACACTGTACCCATATGAATTTTTAGCATTTTTTTGAGACAGATAAAGCTTAATTTTGGTGGTATTTATTCACCACGGGGATTTTTATTTTTTTTGCTATGTAAATTAAAAAGTTTGGGAAAAAAAAAGTTTTTCTTATAAAATTTTGCAAATAAATAGTATTTCATCATAAATCTTGGCCAAAATTTCTTCCGTTATATTTTTAGTAAAAAAAAAATAATAACCCAAATTAGTTTATAACCAAAAATTATAATTTTTAAACTTTTTTTTATATTATTTTTTTTTTTACATACTGTCACCCTAGCAGTACAGTGTCACCATGGTAACACTGCACTACTTATGGGGGGTGATGAAGATTTTTTTTTTTTTTTTTTTTTTTTTTTACACCGATTGCTTTTACACCCATATAGGATGTAAAAGTAATCATTTCTCCTTCTCTCTAGCTGCATTCTTGCAGCCATTGAGAACTACTGTGTGAGCTGTGATTGGTCACAGCTTGTCACATGGTACAAGGCTGTTGTGAATAGCCCTGTACCATGTGATCTCTGTGGTCATTCAGATTTCACACGTAGTAAGCAATGATGTCACAAGTGACATCTTGCTTACTACTCTGCATGTGATCACTGATTGGCCAATCTGTGATCACATGATCGGGACCTCGCACAGAGGTCCCGTCCGACGATTGGTGTTCCACTGTGTCCGGAGGACACAGCGGGCACAGGATCGCGGTGCTGCGTGCTCCCAGGGATTTTTTTTTTTTTACATACTGTCACCCTAGCGCACCTGTGCCATCCAGTGTCCAGCAGTGCTGTCAGTGCCACCCATTAGTGCTGCCCATCAGTGCCATCAGTCAGTGCCACCCATCAGTGTCCAGCAGTGCCATCAGTCAGTGCCACCCATCAGTGTCCAGCAGTGCCATCAGTCAGTGCCACCCATCAGTGCTGTCCATTAGTGCCACCTATCAGTGCAGCCTCATCAATGCACATCACCGAAGGAGAAAAATTACCCGTTTGAAACAAAGAAAACCTTTCTTTCTTCAAATTTTTTTGCTCTTTTGTTTAGAACACAAAAAATATATATATTATATTGCCAAATATATTGGACTGCCTGCCTTTACACACATGACCTTTAATGGCCTCCCAGTCCATAGGGTTCAATATTGAGTTGGCCCCGTTCTTTGCAGCTATAACAGCTTAAACTCTTCTGGGAAGGCCGTCCACAAGGTTTAGGAGGGTGTCTATGGGAAGGTTGGACCATTCTTCCAGAAGCACATTTGTCAGGTCAGGCACTGATGTCGGGGGAGGAGGCCTGGCTCACAGTCTCCGCTCTAATTCATCCCAAAGGTGTTCTATCGGGTGGAGGTCAGGACTCTGCAATCTACTCAAGTTCCTCTAGGGCACAGCAGGTGTACAGATCTGGGAACTCAGCACAAGGATGGAGGGAACCCCTCATAATGGGCACAGCGAGTGTACAGACCTGGGGACGCAGGGGAGAGATCTCACTGATAGTCCCCAAGAGACAGAGCAAAGCGTTGGTTTAACTCTCCAGCAACCACCATAACCTGACGTATGATCAGGGGGGGGGGGACAGCTACTCTGATATCAGGATATATATGAGATTTTTTAGACTTGGCATACAAAGTAATAGAGGAAGAGGTAAGTAAATGGAATGGGGAGGCACAAAAAGGACACCTCGGAGGTGGTGTTAAATATTTATCATAAAGTGAATCAGAATTCTGTACAGATATACACAGGTTAATATTGTGACGACCTCCTCTGCCCGTCACTGGAAGCGTAGAACCGTGCCTGTGTTGCGCCTTGTAGCAGCTTCGGTAATACAAGCACTCGGATGTCCGCATCAAGAGTTCATAGTGGCAGATAGTGACATGTGTTGGGTAGAAGACCACATTAAAATGAGGAACTAGGAGGGGACAAAGGCACTTTCATCCACCCCTCTGTGCGATGATCCATTCTGTCATGGGAAAATCTGCAGTTCAAATTTGGGTGCCCACTCCAACGCGCTCTTCACTACCGCTAAAGCAGCGGCCCCCAGAGCCACCGTCAGTCCCATGACCGCCAGCTTCACCAGTCTGTTAGTGCGGGGTTTGGTAAGGATGGACTTGGCTGCGTGCTCTGGACGGACAGAGTCTCTGAAACGGCGCCGAAGGACCATATCTGGCCGCTGTTGTGTGGATGCCAGCTCAAAGTCTTTAAAGGTGGAGACTGCCGTCCTGGAGGAAGAAAGAGATGCAGGTTAGAGGCCAATCTACACAACATATTACATCCCAACTGATCTTTGGTGTACATTCGCCAAATACATTCCAGGCAGATCCAGAGTATTAGGGCTCATGTACACTGCAGCTGATAAACTGACGTTCAGGAGCAGGGGCGGACTGACAACTCATTGGGCCCTCGGGCAATCGGGGATCATGGGGCTCCTGTGTCCTTGCCCAAACTCAAAAAAACCTATGAAAAAAAAGGTACCAGGGGCATCTCATGGCACCCCCTTCTGACCCCAGGCCCTCGGGCAGTGCCCGAGTTTCCAAATGGTCAGTCCGCCCCTGTTCAGGAGCTGTTCAGCGTTTTGTTCAGCAGCCCCTGAACTCTCCCTAATGTTTTCCTATGTGACCATGTACACATCGTCATTTACAGGCAGTTGAGTTTACAGTCGTTTTTTTTTGAACGCAGAAAACTTGCGTTCAGCAGTAGATTTTATCAGCGTTTATAGGCGATTGCGTTTGAAATTTTATTTTTTACTCTTCCATTTCCAGATGCTGTCCAGAGCCTTTTTTTATCATCATGAAAAATGCATGCAAAGCGTTTTCCAGGTACTCAAATGGACCCGGTACACCATACTTTGAGGTTTTGCATGAAAAAAAAAATATGTTAGACACCGCTGCAATCATTTCTGCACAGAAATGAGCCGGAACACATCCAAACACCACAAAAAAAAAGCAGCTAATCTCAACACATACTGCTCTCTCTGCTTCTGCTCTCTCTATTGCTCTCAAAATGTCTGAAATAGTTAATGTTTTACTATTTTTAAGTGCATTCTGGGCATTTTGGAAGGTCTCCTGAGCAGGGGTGGACTGACAACTCATGGGGCCCGTTTCCTCGCCCACACTCAAAAAAGCCTATAAAAAGGTACCAGGGGCATTTCATGGGGCCCCCTACTGACCCCGGGCCCTCGGGCAGTGCCCGAGTTCTCGAATGGTTAGTCCGCTCCTGAGGTTATCTTTAACCCCTTCACACCGGCGCCTCCCGGACCTTTAAGAGTTTCAGAAGGCGGGACGGGTGGAGCAGGGTATATGGATCATGTGACCGCCGTGATGTCACATGATCGGGAAAGGTCCTGATCGAAAGAGGAGACTGGGACCTTTCCGTGAGTACCGGACATGTGCGTGCTCTCAGCACATATGTTTTTTCTTACCTGTACGCAAATGTGCAGCCGCTCTGCATCTAGGCCCCGACGCCGGGAGGCCGCACATTTGTGTGTGGCCGGCGTGAAGAGGTTAAAAAACGCTTCTAAACGCGGTATGCCAACGTGACTAAACAGATGTTTTTTAACCAAGTTTTCCAGCAGTCAGTTTCCATCGTTCAGAAGTGTCCTGTGTACATGGGACCTTAGGGCTCGTTAACACCACATACAATCCAGTGCATTTTTTTTTGCATCAAAAACACATGGATAATAGGTTGTATGTTTTCCAATGGCACAGTTCACACCAGTGAGGTCAGTTCCAGAAAAAAAAAAAGTAGAACATATTGCATTCTTTCTGCACTGAGCTATACTGGAACACATCAAAAATGCACTGGAATGAATGTCCTGCCTCGCACTGATGCGGTGCTGGGAACCGCATGTGATTCAGAGAGGAATCACACCGCATTCCAGTACAAATCACATGTGATTCTTTGCAGTGCCATTTCCGCCCATTCATTTTGACTGGCCTCAAAACGCACGCCCCCGCACCTTTTATTTTTGCTTCACTGGAATATGAACATCCAGGCGATCCAATTCAGCCAAACACACTGCATTTTGTGGCCCATTTTTGGGGTGTTGTTAACTTAACACTGACAACTGCAACAGAACTGTACTTTGAAGTGCATGTCTCGGCAAAATTACCCCAAAAAACGAAATACTACATCTCTGCAATACGCACACTCAGCTCCCTTTGTGTTCCCTTTAAAATGCTACAGATACAGAAAACTAGCTGTTGACCCGCCAATCATAATGACAGGTACTCTTTAAGATTGTTCCCAGCAGAATTAGTGTTTTCACTTTGAAGGTAAACCAGGGGATTTCAAACCAAAATTATCCAATACCCATTTCATATGTGGGTTGTTATTTACTAAATCTCTAGACTATGATGAATTCACTAGCAGAGGCGCTCCATGTAGCTCAGATACCATACATATAGCCAAGAACCAGAGAGCTAGAGATGTGGGAACACCCTGGATGTAATAGGGGTGAGATACCATGGTGGGCTCTACAGTGAGGAGATCTTGATGTGTGAATCCTCCCTCCCCACTTCAGATGACTGGACTCTGCCTACATGTGAAATTTTGCCATATGGTGGACTGACCATCCATTAGCAGGAAGTGACATTATTGAACCAAGATGGTTCCCACACTTACCTTTCAGCCTGGTGCTGCTGGGCAGCTTCCCTAGACAGCTCAGAAGGTGGAAACTGAACAAAGAGGTCGCCCGCTCTGCTGATGAGAGTCTCATAGGGCAGATCTTGTGGGATTTGTGACAACAGATGGTGTACGGAGGCCATGTCACAGTCACACTCTAGTACCTCTTCCTCTCTGTGCAGCACAATCTGCAGAAAATGACATGGGGCACCTCTTTAGTCAACAAGCCACAAAGAACTTCTTGTGTTGGTCAATCATATTGTCACCCAGAACATCCAAATGTCTGCCTCAATGTGTGGAAGCCCTGCTATACCAATATCTTAGAGCAGTGGTTTCCAAACTGATGCAGCCCTCAGGGCATTATTCCTTCTAGTGACACAGATGAAAGGGCATTATTCCTCCCATTGACACAGATGAAAGGGCACTATTCCTCCCACTGACGCCAATGATGGGGCACTATTCCTCCCACTGACGCCAATGATGGGGCACTATTCCTCCCAGTGACGCCAATGATGGGGCACTATTCCTCCCAGTGACGCCAATGATGGGGCACTATTCCTCCCAGTGACGCCAATGATGGGGCACTATTTCTCCCAGTGACGCCAATGATGGGGCACTATTTCTCCCAGTGACGCCAATGATGGGCACTATTCCCACTCCCAGTGACACCAATGATGGGGCACTATTCCTCCACTGACGCCAATGATGGGGCACTATTCCTCCCAGTGACGCCAATGATGGGGCACTATTCCTTCCACTGACGCCAATGATGGGGCACTATTCCTCCCAGTGACGCCAATGATGGGGCACTATTCCTCCCACTGACACCAATGATGGGGTACTATTCCTCCCACTGACACCAATGATGGGACACTATTCCTCCCACTGACACCAATGATGGGGGACTATTCCTTCCACTGACACAAAACAATGATGGGGGACTATTCCTTCCACTGACACCAATGATGGGGTACTATTCCTTCCACTGACACCAATGATGGGGGTACTATTCCTCCCACTGACAGCAATGATGGGGTACTATTCCTCCCACGGATACCAATGATGGGGCACTATTCCTCCCACTGACACCAATGATGGGGCTCTATTCCTCCCACTGACACCAATGATGGGGTACTATTCCTTCCACTGACAGCAATGATGGGGGACTATTCCTCCCAGTGACACCAATGATGGGGGACTCTTCCTTCCACTGACACCAATGATGGGGGACTATTCCTTCCACTGACACCAATGATGGGGGACTATTCCTTCCACTGACACCAATGATGGGGTACTATTCCTTCCACTGACACCAATGATGGGGGACTATTCCTCCCACTGACAGCAATGATGGGGTACTATTCCTCCCACGGATACCAATGATGGGGCACTATTCCTCCCACTGACACCAATGATGGGGCACTATTCCTCCCACTGACACCAATGATGGGGTACTATTCCTTCCACTGACAGCAATGATGGGGTACTATTCCTTCCACTGACACCAATGATGTGGCACTATTCCTCCCACTGACACCAATGATGGGGGGACTATTCCTCCCACTGATACCAATGATGGGGTACTATTCCTCCCACTGACACTAATGATGGGGGGTACTATTCCTCCCACTGACACCAATGATGGGGTACTATTCCTCCTACTGACACCAATGATGGGTACTATTTCTCCTCCTACTATCCACAGGCATTCTGTCATTTTTTTCACTGTCCCTGAATACCAGGCCTGAGGCATTGTTACTCCCACTGGCCACAGTCCAGCTCAAGTACAATATACAGTGAACTGGCCCTTTGTTTAGAAAGTTTGGAGAGGCCAGTCTCAGAGGAAAAGGATTGGAGGGAGTGTGCTTATAAAGTGTCAATGTATAAAAGTAAAGGCATCCTTTAAGTTCTGATATGGGTGGAAGCGGGGCCATGGTCTTCACCTAAGCAGTTGGTCTTAATTTGTATACCAGATGACTACCCAGTTTCATGGCACCCAACATAAAGGGACCAGGAGCTGCTATTTTTTCTACACTTCAGGTCTACTTTAAATGGTCAGTTCTCCCAAAAGGTATTTCAGCTAAAGGTGGATGCAAGTGCAAAGAATCAAAAGGGAATCCACTGGCAAAATATGCCATAGTGGTGTTTCTGGGTTTACCTCTTACACAGTGGAACCCTTTATTCTTCAACAGGAAGAGTCGAGCCCCAATGCTGCAGATGAGTAGACATGGGAGACCTAACTACAGTAAACCTTTATAGACCAGTGGATGAGTCTGCCCACCAAAATCTAACCAAATATTTTTGGAGGAATGATGAATGTTAGGCAGTTGCCATCAGTTATAGACCCAATCTTGAATGGTGCCTGGGCTAGACAGCAGTAGCACCGAGGTCTTCCCAAGATCACAGTAGACCCTTACCACAGCAGCAAAGTAGATGGGCATGAGCGGGTGACAGGCCAGGAAGAAGTCATACAACCTCACCACATGCCTGAAATCTGATAGGACGTGCCCAAACCAGGTGATGAGCCAGCTCAAGGCAAATATGGTGCCCACCTCCGCCCTGCCAAGAATGGAAGACACGGTAAGCCACACCAACGTACAAAGATGGCAGATGATTAAGAGGGATGGCACTCTGGCCACACTCACCTTTGCATGAAGTCGTGCAGCACTGGGTTCACCAGTTCTATAATAGGCATCAGGTAATTGAGAATGTGTTTGGTGTTATCCATACTGGGATCCATGAAGTCCCTATTGGAAGACACACGTTAGTCTGCCAAGTATGCTTAGAGTCAATGATGAATACTATCAGCCACTACTGAGTGGGTGGGAGATGGCAGTTTAATACATCACAAGAGGCATAGAAATATAAAAAAAACTATATAAAATTCTTTACACAGACTAGAGGAGCTTTTTTTTTTTTGTTGAGAAAGGTGTTAATGACTGGCCTTTGTCAGAGAAGGGGTTAGGAGGACCAATAAGAAGCTTTATGCTTTTTACACCAAATTAGTAAAGAATCTTTAAAAAACAGGGGTTGGACAAAAATATGGAAACAGCAGGTAAAAAAACTAAATCGTTACCAAATATGGCGTTGGACTGCCTTTGGCATCCAAGACGACCTGAATTCTTCTGGGAATAAAAGTTTCCAATGGTGGATAATGGAATCTGATTCCACTCTTAATGCAAAAATCATTCCAGTGCTCGCAGAGGTGGGGGAAAACAAGCCCGAACCTTGTTCTCCAAAACTGACCATAGTGGCTCTATGATATTGAGGTCTGGCAACTACAGCACCCAAGGAAGGTGCGAGACTTCGTCTGCATGCTCATCAAAGCACGACTGGACAACACCAGCTGTGTGAATCAGTGGCTCTATGATATTGAGGTCCGGTGCCTACAGCACCCAAGGAAGGTCCGAGACTTCGTCTGCATGCTCATCAAACCACGATTGGACAACACCAGCTGTGTGAATCAGTTGCTCTATGATATTAAGGCGACTACAGCGCCCAAGGAAGGTGCGAGATTTCCTCTGCATGCTCATCAAATCACGATTGGACAACACCAGCTGTTGGAATCAGTGGCTCTATGATATTGAGGTCTGGCAACTACAACACCAAAGAAGGTGCCAGACTTCGTCTTCATGCTCATCAAGCCACGATTGGACAACATCGTCTTGTTAAATGGCGCTGTCTTCGGCAAACAATGTCCCTCATCTGCACCATGGGGTACACTTGGTTGACCAAAATGTGTACATAGTCGCTGGCAGTGACTCAACATTTCAAGGGACTGCAGAATACCAAGATATCACTGCCCAAACCATGATTGCACCGCCACCATGCTTTACCATTGGCACAAGACAGTCCTGGTCGTAAGCTCGGGACGGTGTTCGCCACACGTAAACACATCCAGTGGTTGGGAACAGTGTGACGCTCGATTCATCAGACCATATTACAGTCTTCCATTGATCGACAATCCATGATTCATGGGTGTTGCAACACTCTCTCCTCCTCTGAGCATTAATATCGGTCACTAGCAGTTGGGTAGTTGCACCTCACCCTTGAATGTTCTGCTGATTGGGTAGTTGCACCTCACCCTTGAATGTTCTGCTTATGGAGTTCCCTCCGCAGTTTTTGTGGACACTGGCTTTGAAAGACTGGGATTGAGCTCTGCAGTTACTTTTGCAGCAGTTGTTTTCTGATTCCGGCTCACAATCATGAACAATGGCCTGTTTCTTTCGGTCAGTTGACCATGTCGATCACTTTTATGCTCATCATCCCAGAAACTGTATGCGCCGTCATAACCTTTTGGTACCGTACTTCGCGACAAAAATGGCAACTTCAGTCACAGAGGCACCAGCTAAGCGGCACCAACAATTTGCCCTCTTTGAAGCTCAGTAAGCTCTGACATGACTCCGTATTACTAGCAACATACGCAGTGAATGAGGAAAGTGAGGCTTCCCACCTGTTACATCTTTTCCGCTTTCAACGCGAAACATGTCGTCACCTCAAAACATGGAGTGTTTCCATTGGTTTGTCCAACCCCTGTATGCCATGTTTACCTTTCACCCAATTCCATCACCGAGGTATCAAAAGATACAGAAGGCAGGGAGTTTTGCAAGATGCTGCATTGTTGTTGTTTAATATAGAACACATTTACACAGCTGACATCCTTTGTGGAACTACAAGTCCCAACCACCCTAGCAAGCTGGAAATTTGCAGCTCCACAAGTTGTCAATCTCATCTGTGTGTTTGGTGAGTGACTACAGAGTAGGATGTGGATATTACGCAGGCCGCGGGGGTGCGGGGTCACTCAGCAATACAGCAGGGCGCACCTGAACCCACCTTAGGTGATGTGTGGACAGTTTATCCACCAGCAGAGTGGCCAGCGGCCCACCCACCACCAGCAGGAAAGTGACAACAATGTCGTGATATCCCTGGTAATAGTGCAGCTGGGAATTTCGAGCCAAAACCTGTAGGATGATGTCAATCAGTTGCTCCTGCAAATCTTCCCGTTCCTTTAAAGGCATTCCTGAGAGGCAAAACCAGAGTACCCCATAATTGAAAGCAAAGAACCCCCAACAGTCACACACCCCCCCCCCCCAGCACCAAGACATACAGCAAGGATGAGGCAGCTTCAGTCATTTTGAAAAGGCAGGCTCCAGTTAAAACTGAAAAGCCCTGACATGAGTGGTTTATCTTCTGATTTTCCTGCAGTTGCAGTGCACCAGCCAAATCGCAATTGCAAACACAAGAGGAACAGCAGGATTTCAGGACCACTCTGAAGAATCTCCTTACAGAGGAAGAAAGAGACCAGAGCAGAAATCCCGGTAGCAGGACCACTGAGTCACCTGACTGGTTCTGAAATGTAACTGCCACTGTTTACCTGAAATTAAAGTAAATTAAGGGCTTGTTCACAACAGCTTTGGTCTCTGAAGAGAGCATATTACAGGCGGTGAGGAGGCGTTGTATCATCAACTCAACAGCCTGCTTTAACCCTTTGATCTCCACAAAAGCGACAGGGGGTAAAATTCCATTATGTGTACACCTCCAGCCGCTGCCGGTGCAGCTACTGGGGGCAGTAAAAGTGTTGCTCAACCCTGAAATTTTACTGACCCCCCTCCCCAAAAGCAAATGTGAATGAGCCCTAAGTGGCCTTTTTAGTTTCAACATAGCCGAAATGTTTCCTGGACAGCAGGAATAGCCAGGTAATTTGGTAGAAATGGGGGATTCATGGCAGGTCAGGACTCCAAGCCACTCAGGGCCCCTTGCTTTGCAGCACTGCCCTGTTTACAGAAGCAGAAAGATGACCTTATCAATGTGATACTTATCCTTTACTGTCCAATCAGCAGCAATGGGGGGGTGTGTTCATTGAAAAAGCTGTACTGCTTACCTTCTTTGGGGGTCATGGACCTGTTTGCACTTGCTGGCACATGTGCCTGGATTGAAAGACTGCTAAGTTTTGAATCAAAAAGGTATGTACATGCCAAGCTGCCCTCCTGCTGGGAGTTAACTATGTTAGACCTGGTTCACATATATGCGGCCGTGCGGGCCGCGTTTTGCACGGGCACGAGAGCCCATTCATTTGAATGGACTCCTGTGCCTCGCAGGGAAGAAGTCCCTGCACTTCTTTGGAAACCGCAGTCCGCACGGGAACCTTGGATCTCAGTGCGGTTTTGATTTCCAGTGCGGGCGGCGTACCATTAGAATTAATGGCACCCGCCTGCGGGTCCGCATACCTCTGTGCGGGTGGTGCGGCTGCACGGATTTTCATGTGGATCTGCAGCAGCACCACCCGCACAGATGTGAACCAAGCCTTAGGGCTCGTTCAAACCAGTGAGTCATGTTCAACATATGGGCCCCAGGAGACACAGTGTGGATGCACCAGGAGACAGTGCGGATGCACCGATTCCAGCAATTTTCACAGTTTTATTAAACCGTCACTCGTTCTTTTCACCCCAAAAGCGTTGCGGTGCTTTGTGACGCAAGCTGCATGCAGCATTTTTCTCAGCGCACACCAGAGCAAAGCTGTGGTGTGATTGGACAGTATAATAAACAAGACATTTTGCCTTGTCTAGGTGCAGGGGCTGAGATGCAAATAGCTTTCAGTGTAGCCCCAATGCATTTGATGTGAACAAGCCTTGAAGATGGGGATATTCTAGGGCCCTACAGATTACCTAGAGCAGAGGCGGACTGACCATTTGGAAACTCGGGCACTGCCCGAGGTCCCGGGGTCAGTAGGGGGCCCCATGAGATGCCCCGGTACCCATTTCATAGGCTTTTTTGAGTTTGCGCAAGGACACAGGTGCCCCATGATCCCCTATTGCCCGGAGGCCCCATGAGTTGTCAGTCTGCCCCTGACCTGGAGTTGATCATTTATTGCTATTCTTCCCTTCTAGCCTCATAGTAATAGTACTGTGGATTAGCCATTTGGTTCTGTCAATGGAAAGGATTACATTTCGTTGTAACAAGTATTAAATATTTCTAATCCTAGATTATAGAACTGATATTTTAAAGAGGAACTTCACCCTCCCAATGGAGTGTTTTCCCACCTATCTCTGGTGCTTTGGTATGCTGAAACATCATAATTACAAGCCCAGCAGGTCCAGCCTTGTCCTCCTCTTGCACCACTCTCTCCTTTACAGGTCCTGTGTCACGCCACTATTTTTTTTTTTTTTTTTAAACCACTTTTTTTTTTTGTTACATCATCAGGAGCCAGCTGTCTCTCCCTGGTTCTTGCGTCCAGTGAGCTAATAATGAAGCGCCAGATCCTGCGCATGCACAGACAGGGATCTGGCACTACCTCTGCTTACATATTAGTCTAGAAATGGAGGAAAGTAATGTCCCCTGGGATACCATCACATATCACAAAAGGCATTATTTTTTTTTTTTTAAATGAATGAAGGAAAGTATATAAAGGGAGGTAGAACCAGAGCTCTGTCTGTGCATGCGCAAGATCTGCCGCCTCCTCTGTTTACATATTGTTCTCAAGATGGGGGAAGTAATGACTCCCGGGATCTGTGACATTGGCATCCCAGGAGGCACCAGGAGATTGAGAACACAAGTGATTACCTGATCCAGAAATCCTCCAGGACCATCAGGTCCATATCAACGTCCTGGAGGAAAACACGAGTTATTGTTCTTTTCCAGGACGAGCACATGGACCTGACACCGTCTTGGAGGATCACGTCATTCTTGTCTAGGACAGCATAGAAGTGGGGGGGGTGAACAAGGTAAAAAAAAAGTTGTTTTTTTTTTTTTTTAAACAGTGGAGATCAGCTAAACTGATATTATAATTGTTTTTATTCTCTTTTGTACTCTTCTCCAACCTGCCAATGTACAGGTCTCAGACAGGTCTGTCTGTCCCCTGACCCTCCATTATAAAGCATTTGGATGGCAGTCGTCAGGAGAACTGAGGCTGCCCCATCCCTGTTGTACACATTCACTCCCCAAGACCCCATCATTCACCCGCACACTTTACCTGGAGGGAATCTTCGCAGTGAGCGCCTAACATCCAGCAAGACTTGTTCGTAATCTTTATTGTTGACCCGCAGCTCAGGCCCTGCACAGACCACGTTATATGTGAATCAGCAATGTACGACATACACCTAAAAAAGAAAACCTGGGCGAATCTACGCCGGGGTACCTGGGGGAGGGGGCAGCTCGTCGGTATTGACGTTGAGGAGTCTGGGCCAGACTTGACAACGGATTTCGTCAGATAGCAGCCCTCCTTCGCTGATTGCCATCCTCCGCAGGGTGGAGACATCGGGAGGGTCCTTGCTCAGTGCTTTCTGGATGTCGGTGAGCTTACGGCGCCGGCGGAAATCACTGCCTGATAACACAGAAAACAACATGAGCAACAGGCACTTCTGAGCTATAAAACTACCAAAAACCAAACGCTTTTCTTATTCAGTTATTGGTACGTTAGGGAAGGGTTATCCCCGGGATGACTGTCCAAAAAACATCATCTCCTTACTTCACAGAGATCTCCTCTCACTTTCTGCTGTGTATGGAGACAGTAAGTGATAGAAAATCGCCTCAATGGGATAGAAATCACCAACCCCCCCAAGAAAAAAACATATAGTTCAGCGACTCCTGCCATGTCATCCTGTAGCATCCCGATTCCCAATATACATCACCCTGCAGAACCCCAGTGCCCAGCATACATCACCCTGCAGAACCCCAGGGCCCGGAACACGTCGCCCTGCAGAACCCCAGTGCCCGGCACACGTCGCCCTGCAGAACCCCAGTGCCCGGCACATGTCGCCCAGCAGTACCCCAGTGCCCGGCACATGTTGCCCAGCAGTACCCCAGTGCCCGGCACATGTCGCCCAGCAGTACCCCAGTGCCCGGCACACATCGCCCAGCAGTACCCCAGTGCCCAGCATACGTCGCCCAGCAGAACCCCAGTACCCGGCACACGTTGCCCTGCAGAACCCCAGTGCCCAGCATACGTCGCCCAGCAGAACCCCAGTACCCGGCACACGTTGCCCTGCAGAACCCCAATGCCCGGCATACGTCGCCCAGCAGAACTCTAATGCCCAGCATACGTTACCCTGCAGAAGCCCAGTACCCGGCACAGGTCGCCCAGCAGAACCCCAGTACCCAGCACACGTCGCCCAGTATCCGGCACACGTCACCCTGCATTGTCCTGGTCCCCGGCACATGTCACCCTGCATTGTCCCGGCACACATCACCCTGCATTGTCCTGGTCCCCAGCACACGTCACCCTGTATAGTCCCGGTCCACAGCACACGTCACCCTGTATTGTCCCAGCATACGTCACCCTGTATTGTCCCCAGCATACGTCACCCTGTATTGTCCCCAGCATAAGTCACCCTGTATTGTCCCCAGCATAAGTAACCCTGTATTGTCCCAGCAGCATACGTCACCCTGTAGTGTCCTGGCACCCGGCATATGTCACCCTGTATTGTCCCGGCCCCAACATACGTCACCCTGTATTGTCCCGATCCCCGGCATACCTCACCCTGTATTGTCCCGATCCCCGGCATACCTCACCCTGTATTGTCCCGATCCCCGGCATATGTCACCCTGTATTGTCCCGATCCCCGGCATACGTCACCCTGTATTGTCCCGATCCCCGGCATACGTCACCCTGTATTGTCCCGATCCCCGGCATACGTCACCCTGTATTGTCCCAGATCGTCCCCTGTATTGTCATACGTCACCCTGTATTGTCCCAGCATACGTCACCCTGTATTGTCCCAGCATACGTCACCCTGTATTGTCCCAGCATACGTCACCCTGTATTGTCCCAGCATACGTCACCCTGTATTGTCCCAGCATACGTCACCCTGTATTGTCCCGGCACCAAACATGCGTCACCCTGTATTGTCCCGATCCCCGGCATACGTCACCCTGTATTGTCCCGATCCCCAGCATACGTCACCCTGTATTGTCCCGATCCCCAGCATACGTCACCCTGTATTGTCCCGATCCCCAGCATACGTCACCCTGTATTGTCCCGATCCCCAGCATACGTCACCCTGTATTGTCCCAGCATACGTCACCCTGTATTGTCCCGATCCCCCCAGCATACGTCACCCTGTATTGTCCGATCCCCAGCATACGTCACCCTGTATTGTCCCAGCATACCAAATGTAATATCTCCTGCGCTCCGGGACCCAGGCCGGTGGTGAGTAGATGGAATCAAACTCCAAAGAGAAAAGAACCACCGGAATAAACAAGGTCGTGCAGCTCCACATCAAGGCTGGGGAAGCCCAAACAAAACTGTGAAGGAGAACAACAAAAGAGAAGCGCACCAACCTTGCGCATTACCTCAGTAACCAAAAATTTATTGAATAAAAGAATGGTACTCACAAACAGCGAATAAAAACAAGCATGTAAGTCCTCAAAGGGACTTTAGAGGCAAGATGCCAATGCGAATCCCATCATGGAGGAAGCCACTCAGTACAGCTGACGCGTTTCGAAGGACATGCCTTCTTCCTCAGAGCTCAGCTCAGCTCTGAGGAAGAAGGCATGTCCTTCGAAACGCGTCAGCTGTACTGAGTGGCTTCCTCCATGATGGGATTCGCATTGGCATCTTGCCTCTAAAGTCCCTTTGAGGACTTACATGCTTGTTTTTATTCGCTGTTTGTGAGTACCATTCTTTTATTCAATAAATTTTTGGTTACTGAGGTAATGCGCAAGGTTGGTGCGCTTCTCTTTTGTTGTTCTCCTTCACAGTTTTGTCCCAGCATACGTCACCCTGTATTGTCCCGATCCCCGCCATACGTCACCCTGAATTGTCCCAGCATACGTCACCCTGTATTGTCCCGATACCCGGCATAGGTCACCCTGTATTGTCCCGATACCCGTATTGTCCCAGCATAGGTCACCCTGTCCCGATTAAGTCACCCTGTATTGTCCCCACCCAACACGTCACCCTGTATTGTCCCAGCATACGTCACCCTGTACTGTCCCGATACCCGGCATAAGTCACCCTGTATTGTCCCGGCACCCAACACTTCACCCTGTATTGTCCCAGCATACGTCACCCTGTATTGTCCCGATACCCGGCATAAGTCACCCTGTATTGTCCCGGCACCCAACATATGTCACCCTGTATTGTCCCGGCACCCAACATATGTCACCCTGTATTGTCCCGGCACCCAACATATGTCACCCTGTATTGTCCCGGCACCCAACATATGTCACCCTGTATTGTCCCGGCACCCAACATATGTCACCCTGCAGAACCCCACTACCAGCCATACTGTGTGTGTTGCCCAGGTACCTGGCATATTTCACCTGTAGAAACCCTGTACACGTCACCCTGTAGTGTCCAACGATACAACATATGTCACCCCGTGTCAACCCCAATACCAGACATATAGGGGTTTATTTACTAAAGCTGGAGAGTCCAAAATCAGACTCCCTTCTGCATAGAAACCAATCAGCTTGTAACCTGAAGCTGATTGGCTTTGGCTATGCAAAGGGAGTCTGATTTTATGCAGACTCTCTCTCCAGCTTTAGTAAATAAACCCCATGTTGTCCTGTACTGCTCTGGTATCCGGCATGTGTCGCCCCGAGGCACCCCGGTGTCCGCCATGTGTCAGCCCGAGGCACCCCGGTGTCCGCCATGTGTCAGCCCGAGGCACCCCGGTGTCCGCCATGTGTCACCCCGAGGCACCCCGGTGTCCGCCATGTGTCACCCCGAGGCACCCCGGTGTCCGCCATGTGTCACCCCGAGGCACCCCGGTGTCCGCCATGTGTCAGCCCGAGGCACCCCGGTGTCCGCCATGTGTCACCTCGGTATCTGGCCAATGTCACCGTGTACTGTTCATAGCAGGCATATGCCCCCCTCTAGTTCTCCTGTACCTGGGATGTGTCCCGGTGTAGTACCCCGGTACCTGTCATCTGTCTCTCCCTGCACAGCCTCTAAGGCCCATCTCCCGGGTTCGGTTCTATAGTCCCCTCCATCCAACGTACACCGAACACCCATCACCTACACAACACTACACTCCAAGCCCCGCCCGTATTACCGTGCTTCCCCGGCTCCGCCCTCATGCTCGTACGGAGCGAGGGGTGGAGTCACCGGCCCCGTTACCGGCTCCACTTCCCGGATACACTTCCGTACAGCAGCCTCATGATGATGTCACGAGACCCGAGCCTGCGCGGTGAGCCAGCTGCAGAGCCCGTAACCACCGCTCGGCCCGCCCCCTGAAGGGAATGTCAGCCCATTGACCACGCCCACTTACCAACTCAGTGAAGTCCACCCAAGGACTGCTTTAACTTCCTGGATGGAATAGAAAGGCTGAGAGGCAGGGGCGGACTGACCATTTAGGCATTTGGGCACTGCCTGAGGGCCCGGGGTCAGTAGGGGGCCCCATGAGATGCCCCTGGTACCTTTCATAGTTTTTTTTGGGTGTGGTTTGAGTGTGGGTGAGGACACAGGGGCCCCATGATTTCCTATTGCCGGGGGGCCCATGAATTGTCAGGCCGCCCCTGGTGAGAGGATATTCCTCATAGAAAGTTGTCACCCAAACGTGTGTCCCCACTGGGAGGTCTCCGCTCCTCCTCTGACAACTACTTCCAGGTCTCCCATCACTTTCTGTCCTAGTGATAGAGGATGGATGACATCAATAAATACCTGACGGGTTCTACCCTTCCACACGCCATCTAAAATCATTTATCTGGACTCCAGGCAGTTGTAACCAGCACGAATCAATGGAGATCTGCCTAATGGTGCCCCCTAGGCAGCAGAGCTCAGACTGGGAGAGGGAAGCAGCACAAGGAGCCAATCAGTTGATTCACAGTGCTAACAAGGCTGATAGGAGGGGAATGCAGAGTGAAAGGGAGATGAGCTCATCAGTCTGCTGCTTCTCCTTTGACTGTCCAATCACAGGCTGGGGAAAGGACAAGGCCTGTAAATGTTACTAAATGCAGCAAACCAACACTGGTGCCAATAACCATTCACTGCCCACCCACAATACATGTACTGCGGACAGGCGGCAACGACAGGCAGCGGATCGTGCTGGTACATCGCTTAGCACATGCTCATCACAGTCATAGCATTCACATGATTACAATGGCTTCCTTTCATAACAGCTTGATTAATATTGTGAGGCTGCGATTGGCCCACCGCTATCAAATGGTACCTGCTGCCCTGTACCATGTGATTAGCTGTAGCCAATCACAGCCTCACAATAGTAAGCAAGCTGTCATGAAAGCCATTCATGACAGCTAAAACTATTGCTTATAACAGTGATCATCACTCTTATCAGCAATAATAGTTTTTAAAAAAATAAGGGATGACCCCCCCCCCTCCCCAGAGTAGTACAGTGTTACTATGGTGACAGTGAGATACTGTGGTGCCAGTATATTTAAAAAAAAAATAGTAAAAAAAATGTTTTTAAAAAGTGAATAAAAATAATATACACTAAATGGCCAAAAGTATTGGTCGGCCGCCCTTTCCACACACATGACCTTTAATGGCCCCCCAGTCTTAGTGCGTAGGATTCAATATTGAGTTGGCCCCGCCCTTTCCACACACATGACCTTCAATGGCCCCCCAGTCTTAGTCCGTAGGGTTCAATATTGAGTTGGCCCCGCCCTTTGCAGCTATAACAGCTTCAACTCTTCTGGGAAGGCCGTCCACAAGGTTTAGGAGGGTGTCTATGGGAAGGTTGGACCATTCTTCCAGAAGCACATTTGTCAGGTCAGGCACTGATGTCGGGGGAGGAGGCCTGGCTCGCAGTCTCCGCTCTAATTCATCCCAAAGGTGTTCTATGGGGTTGAGGTCAGGACTCTGTGCAGGCCAGTCAAGTTCCTCCACCCCAAACTGGCTCCTCCATGTCTTTATGGACCTTGCTTTGTGTACTGGTGGGCAGTCATGTTGGAACAGGAAGGGGCCATCCCCAAACTCTTCCCCCAAAGTTGGGAGCATGAAATTGTCCAAAATGTCTTAGTATGCTGACGTCTTAAGAGTTACCTTTACTAGAACTAGGGGGCCAAGCCCAACCCCTAAAAAACAACCCCACACCATGATCCCCCCTCCACCAAACTTTACACTTGGCACAATGCATTCAGGCAAGTATTGTTCTCCTGGCAACCGCCAAACCCAGACACGTCCATCGGATTGCCAGACAGAGAAGCGTGATTGGAAACTGCAGAGAACACGTCTCCATTGCTCTAGAGTCCAGTGGCGGCGTGCTTTACACCACGGCATCCCACGCTTTGCATTGCACTTGGTGATGGAAGGCTTGGATGCAGCTGCTCGGCCATGGAAACCCATTCCATGAAGCTCTCTACGCCCTGTTGTTGGGCTCATCTGAAGGCCACACCAAGTTTGGAGGTCTTTAGCTATTGACTCTGCAGACAGTTGGTGACTTCTGCGCACTGTGCGCTTCAGCATGCGCTGACCCCGCCCTGTCATGTGACATGGCCTACCACTTGGTGGCTGAGTGGCTGTTGTTCCCAGTTGCTGCCACTTTGTTATAATCCCACTAACAGTTGAGCGTGGAATATTTAGTAGCCAGGAAATGTCATGGATGGACTTATTGCCCAGGTGACCACCTATCACGGGACCACGCTTGGAGTCACTGAGCTCCTGAGAGCGACCCATTCTTTCACCAATGTTTGTAGAAGCCGTCTGCATGCCTAGGGGCTGATTGTATACACCTGTGTCCATGGAGGGGATTGGAGCACCTGAATCACATGATTTGGAGAGCTGATCCAACACAATACGTTTGGCAATATTGTGGGGGTTTTTTTTTACATACTCTAACCCATCACCCTAGGTTCACATCTGTGCGGGTGGTGCCGCTGAGGATCCACACTAAAATCCGTGCAGCCGCACCACCCGCACAGAGAAATGCAGACCTGTGGGCGGTGCCATTAATTCTAATGGCATGCCGCCCGCACTGGAAAATGCAACCGTACTGGGAACCGAGGATCCCGTGCGGGCTGCATTTTCCAAAGTAGTGCAGAGACTTCTTTCCCGGCGTGGCATGGGAGTCCATTCAAATGAATGGGCTCTCCTGCCCGTGTAAAACACGGCCGCACAGCCGCATATATGTGAACCGGGGGTCAGTATTCCTGATCACTGCTGCAGTGGTGAGAGTATGTTAAAAAAAAATTATGAAAAAAAATGTATATTTAATTTCTTCATTTTCCAAAGAATTGTGACAAAAAATTACAACTTCAAAAATCTCGCCATGCCTCGTATTAAAGACCCCAAGGCTGTCTACTTTGGGGAAGGGAGGGGGGATTTGTACTGTCCTGACATTTTAGGGCCTCAAGAAATTAGAAAAATACTCCTGAATGATGGAAACTGACTGCTGGAAAACGTAGGGTAAAAAAAACGTCTGTTTAGCTGCATTTGCATACCACGTTTATGTGCTTTTATGTGTGTTTGCATTTAGAAGTGTTTTTTAAAGATAACATCAGGAGACCTTCCAAAATGCGCCGAATGCACTGTAAAAAATTAACTAGTCAGACATTTTGAGAGAAATAGAGAGAGCAGTATGTGTGGAGATGACCTGTCTTTTCTGGTTGTATTCACTATGGATCCCATCATGAGGATAATGCGGCGCGTTCTACCATCTGTTCCTTCACGCAAAACCTAGAACTGACTGCGCTGGTATACCGGGTCCATTTGAATACATGGAAAATGCTTTCCATGCATTTCTGATGATGAAAAAAGGCTCTGGACCGCATCTGGAACAGTTAAAAAACGCTTCTAAACGCAAACGCTTCTAAATGCGGTTAGCCGCATTTACAAGCATTTGGCGTTTGAAACGCTGATAAAATCTACTCCTGAATGTAAGTTTGGTGCGTTCAAAAAAACGACTGTAAACTCAACTGCCTGTAAACGACGATGTGTGCATGGACACATAGGAAAACTTAGGGAGAGTTCAGGGGCTGCTGAAAAAAAGAAAAGCTCCTGAAAGTCAGATTATCAGCTGCAGTGTACATGAGCCCTAATAAGGCGGAAGCAAGGGCGGACTGACAACTCATGGGGCCCCCAGGGCAATATGGGATCATGGGGCCCCTGTGTCCTTGCCCAAACTCAAAAAAGCCTATGAAAAAGGTACCGGGGCATCTCATGGGGCCCCCTACTGACCCCAGGGCCCGAGTTTCCAAATGGTCAGTCTGCCCCTGGGTAGAAGACACGAATCCTGCTATGAATTGGGCGGCCCATAAGGCCTCGGTTAGGGGCTTTCTTATTCATTTATCCTCGTGACTCAAAAAGGCTTGTGACGATCTGATTTTGGCTAAATCTAAAGCCTGTACTGATCTTGCAGCCCAACATAAAAGGACCCCTGATCCTGATGTACTACTAACTAAACTTGATCAAGCTCGTTTGGAACTTAACTTGTGCCTCAGTACTACGGCAGATAAACAGTCACGTTGGGCTAACCACAAATTTTTCACGTGGCGAGTTAGACCAGGGGACTTGCTGGCGCGTAAATTGTCTCCCAGACACTCCCATATAGTTCTTCATAAAATTAGACTATCGACCGGTTCTTTGTCCCTGGACCCCGGTAATATTCTACAAGAATTCCATTCCTTTTATACTGATCTTTATGGTCCGCCTTGAGATGACACCTCCCCATCTGTTAACCGCTTTCTGACTTCCTTGACTCTTCCATCTCTTGAAGAAACCCATAAAGCTCTAATGGACCAGCCTATCACCTGTGAGGAAATACAGAACGCCTTAAAAACCTTGGCTCCACATAAGTCACCAGGACCAGATGGCCTTCCTCATACTTATTATAAAGCTTTTTCTGACCTTTTGATCCCACACATGGCTCATTATTTCAATTATCTACGGGACGGAGGTGCGGTACCATCTGAGGAGAACAAAGCGTATATTAGTGTCATTCCTAAGACTAATACAGAGACCACTGCCGTTTCTAATCATCGTCCTATTTCTTTGATCAATTGTGATCTTAAGATCCTCACTAAAATCTTGGCTTTACGCCTTAATACGTTTTTGGCTCATTACATTCATGATGATCAGTCTGGGTTCATTAGAGGCCATCAAACCCTTGATCAACTTTGTC